CGCCCGGTACCCGTCCTCGTTACAGAGGACGAGGAAGCATATTACGAGAGGGAGCGAGGGTTGATTCGACGAATGAGGGAAAGTGTTTTAGCAGGGCCATGTCGTATCAACGAAGGGAACGAAAAGGAGTTGATCATAGGGAAGTCTGATTTCCTGCTGCCTCAGGAGCGAACTCTGATGGTGGAATTAATGAAGAGGAAGCATCGCGCCTACGCGTTTAGTGACGAGGAGCGTGGCAGGCTGGATGTAGATAAGATACCTATGATCCGCATCCACACCGTGCCACACGAGCCTTGGAACATGAGAGGGGCGCGATATCCCAATCCCGACGAGGAAAGGAAGGTGGTGGATTATCTCGACGGCAAGATACGTACTCACGTCGCTAACGGGACGCTGCGGTGGGTGCAGGATTTGCAAAGATTGAATGCAGTGACCGTGCGAGATGCTGGAGGACTGCCGAATGCAGACGCGCTGTCAGAATCCTGTGCTGGAATGCCTATAATTTCGCTTATAGACCTTTACTCAGGATACGATCAGTTCCCAGTCTACCCGTCGGATAGGCCGGTGCCAGCTATGCACACACCGCGAGGATTAGTCCACATGAACGTGGCCCCACAAGGGTGGACCAACGCAGTAGCAATGGTCCAACGAGCCATGATTCGGGCCATGCAGTCAGTCAGCCCCCATATCACACAGCCATACATTGACGATTTGGCAGTGAAGGGGCCGGCGATGAAAGAGAGCGACGAAGTCTCACCATGGGTAAGGTGCTTTGTCTGGAAACACATCCAGGACCTCGAAAAGGTCCCGAGCCTGCTCGAAGAGCATAACCTCACGGCAAGCGGGGCCAAATCCAGACATTGCATGAGGGAAGCGACTATTTTGGGGATCGTCTGCAATGAGAAAGGCTGAAGGCCGGATATGAAGAAGACGGACAAGATTACTGAGTGGCCAGTTCCGTTCCACTCAATAACTGATGTCAGGAGCTTCCTTGGTACGTGTGGATTTTAGAGGGCCTTCGTCAATAACTTTGCCGCTAAGACTGAACACCTGAGGAAGTTAGTCCGTCAGGATCAGGAATGGGTATGGGGTGAGGAACAAGAAGAGGTGGTGGCAAAAATAAAAGAGGAATTCCGAGAAGGAGGGTTGGTGTTAGGAGCGCCAGATTATGACGCCACATAGATGCGACCCTTCATTGTCGAAACGGATGCGGGACCGACCGCCTTAGGGGGAGTTCTAATACAGGCAGACATGGAAGGAAAGGAAAGGCCAGGCGGTGGAGAATACGCCCCCAGTTAATGGATTTCTAGATCAGGAAGAAGATGTTCGTCTCCATATCAATAAGTGGTCGCCGCGCGTGCCCAGCTGTGTAGGCTATCCTATTTGACAAGCGCCGAGCGGATATAAAAGGAGGACCGAGCTGGTCCTCAAACCCTTTAAAGAAGAGGATCCCTGGGGCGGTAAGGATGTTCAGTGGATGATGGAATTAGCGCTGGCCAGCTCGCATAGCCTGGTGGAGGATATGAGGACGATAGAGGAAGGACCTGGCCAGGTAGAATGGCATGAGGACCTGATGGGAGGAATGTATCTCCTCGTCAATACGTTATTGCAGGAAAGCCTAGACCAGTCAGACTCGTTGAACCCGGCAGAAAATGTGGACGAAATACCCGAGAGCCAGGACGACGAGTTCGAAGAAGGGAAAATTAAGGAGGCTTTTCGTGCAGAGGAGTACGACGGGATCTACCTAGAGCTGGGGCTTCTTCTGTCATGTGAAATGCGGCTAAGAGATGCGAGCGATAGGGCTCAAAGGATGCTGCAACGCTACTTAGTGCGAGACGGTCACCGTTTCGTAAAAAGGGAAGTGGGGAATCCCAGGAGAGTCGTCTGCGGTAGGAATCGTCAGATCGACGTCGTAGTAGCACTACACGATGGCATTGCAGGAGGGCATCGAGGGGTACAAGCCACGTATGCCAAGATAAGTGAGCTGTACTACTGGGATGGAATGATGGACATGGTTGGAAAATTCTGTCGATCTTGCGTACCTTGTCAGGAAAGATCCCGTTTATGGCAAGGGGAACCGCTGCATCCCAGGCTAGAACGAGAGGTGGGTGCCGTAGTGCATCTCGATCTACTTTTTATGCCACTTGGGGATCAAGGCTATAACTGTATCTTCGATGCGCGCGATAACCTGTTTGGGTTCGTAGACGGGCGTGCTATTCGCACAAAGACCGGGTCAGTCCTGGTGAGCTGCATCGAGGAGTACTACCTGCGTTATCCCTTCGTCAGGGAATTCGTAATGGACAGGGATCAGAGTTTACCTTCCAGGAGGTGGAAGAACTGTTATCAAGGTATGGTGTGGCAGCCAACTACACCACGGCCGCGCACCCCCAGGCAAATGCTCCCGTAGAGAGAGGACATAGTACCATTACGAATCTCCTGGCCAAATGGACCGAAGGTAAACCTAATCAATGGCCAAGATACCTAAGGGCGGCTTTCTTTGTCGAGAACATTACAGTAAAGAGATCCACCAAGTACGCACCTGCGACGCTGTGGTACGGAAGGCATGCCACCTTTCCTATCGAAAGCTTTCTTAAGACATGGAGGCGCCAGGATCTGGAAGTTTACCTGTCATTTGAAGAGTTGCTCGATATTCGGGTGCGGCAGGTTGGGGCAATAGAAAAAAGGATTCAGGAGGCATCTGATCAGGTGGCGAGAAACCGTATGAATGATAAGGCCCGATGGGATCAGTCTGCGCGAGTGAGGAAAGTACCCTTGGCAGTTGGGGATGTCGTGCTTCTCTACGATACATCGCTGGAGAAGCAGTGGTCCAGGAAGCTCGATAAGAGGTGGTTAGGTCCCTACCAAATTGCACGGGTCGGAGACTTCGGAGCTTACCAGATCGAGGATTTAAGTGGGACTGAGTGGAAGGATTGGGTATCTGGAACGCGACTGAAGAAATTCGTGGCGAGAGAAGAGGTAAGAGAGATGACCTGACCGCCCCTAGAATNGAGAGAAGAGGTAAGAGAGATGACCTGACCGCCCCTAGAATAGAAGTAACAGGGTGTGTAGGTTAGGAAGGATGCATGCTGCATAAGTGTGGTCTAGTCTGAGCTTGCTCTGATTATCACCTGCTTGCTTACCCCAACGTGTGCCTGTTGTCTCCTTCGCCTGTTGTGCAGGTCTGACTTTACGAAGACAGTCATGCCAAGAGGAGGGAAGGGGACACGGCCGCCTCAGAGGTCGTTGGGCGCATCAGGAGGATATGAGCGGCATGGGCCTCGCCAACGAGAGACTACTTCAGTCTACAATGATGGGGACATCGAGCTATTCCTGGACAGTTTCTTGGAGCATGCGAGGTGTATGGGCTGGACCGTCACTCAGGCGATTGAGAGATTGAGGGGAGCAGGTAGGTTCGAAGAGCCCATTACCAGGATTCGTAGGGAGGCGACGACGAAACAAGAGGTGGAGATGAGGATGGAGGAGTTGCGACCCTCGCCTGTGGGACCTGATGGCAGGCCGATCCGCCTGAAGATTGGAAATGCGTCGGACTTCATCCCCGCGTTTGAGTGGTTTATGCAAGAGCAGGGCATACTGAGAAATGATTGGATACAGACGCTGCCACTCTGGACCAGGAAGGCGGAAAGGTCACTGGCTATGCAGAYCAGGGACATGGCACGAGATTGGGAGAGCTGCAGGGCACATTTGAGAGAGGCCTTTCGACGGCCAGAGCTCCCTCAGCCCAGAGTCGAGAGGCGGCAGAGGAGTCAGAGGCCGAGGGACCCTGAGCCCAGGGAGGCGAGACCATCTCGAGGAGGACGGAAGGCCTTAGCCAGGAGAGAGCAGGAGCCAGAGAATGAGGAGCGAGGGGCATACCCTGATTGTGGGTTGGGGCCAGTGGAGTTCCATCGTTTTATTGAGGGTGGATTGAGGAGGTTGCCAGCACACACACAGAGGGAACTACCAGCATCAGAGGGACCCTTGAGGAAATTGGAGATGCATTTAGATATTTATCAGTGGAGGGCGTCGCTTCAAGGTGAGGAGCATGGAGAGCAGGCAGAGGAGGTGTCACGAGAGGAGTTGCCACGAGAGGAGGTGCCACAGGGGGAGATACCACGAGAAGAGATGCCACGGGAGGAGGTGCCACAGAAAGAGGTCCAGGGTACTCAGCGAGAGAGAGGGCTGGGCGATGAGGGGAGATGTGTAGGGAAGGAAGTGATAGAAGTTGGAGAGGACACGTCCCCACAGACGCCATCAGTAGGTTTGAGACTCGGGGGTGCACCAGGGAGCACCCGGCAGGCAAAGGAGGGGTTACAGAGAGAGGAGACCCCTTTACCTTCGTCAGAAAAGGCTCCTTCTCCAGAAGGGAGGGCAGAAAGGAGGAGAGAGAGGGCAGTTGTAAAGAGAGAAGCTTTGATCCTGATTGATAGGCACCTAGCAGCTCATGCCCTGGAGCACCCAGACCTGGAGGAGCCAGCACCTGCAGAGCTACACCAGGAGTCATGCCAGCCCGAGAAGGAGATGGAAGAAGAGATCCCAAAGAGGGTCGACCTCCGCACGAGGGAAAAAGTGTCAGCTGGAGAGACGGCTGAAGAAAAGAGGGCGAGACGAACCAGGCGGATAGATGAGATATGGCAGGAGAGGCAGAGGTTGGAGGCAGCGGGGGAGCTCCCGGAGCAGCAGCAGGAGAGGCAGAGATCGGAGGCAGCAGGAGCACT